GTGACAAGCAGGCCTAGGAGTTCCTGGTTTTACAGTGTGATTTGAAACACTTTATTTATTTATTTATTTATTTATCTAGTTTTAATAGACAATACCACTGTGATTTTTACCTCTGGATTTTGCATGTTCCTACTTACATAAACACAGATTTTATTGTGACTCTAGAACAGCAATGACAGTTTGGGGGATTGTGGCCAGAAGTACTGATACGATGATACCAAAATGTCAGTTTTCCTTTCCTTTTCTCTCCTGGGGTACGACAGAGTGAATTTTATCTTCTATAAAGTAGCCAGACTTTCCTCACTCAAAAAGCTCCTGTTTTAACTGGCACAGTTCTTGCTCTTTTCTGCCTGGTTGAGGCAGACAGTTAATACCACCCCAGCTATTATGCACGTAATAATTTATAATTACTGAAATAAAAATTAAAAAATATAGATAAGCCAACCCTTAGTGGTATTTTTATAAAAACATAACAACTTGGCAATTTGTTTTTTTTTTAAATCTAGTCACACTTCTGCTTTTTTGAACACGAAGATACAATAACTATAGAGACAAGTCATGATAAACACAAATTAACTCACAAAGACCAGATCGCTGGTCTGTGTTCCCTATTCACACAGAGCTAGAAGGAGAGTCCCAGCTAAAAAAAAATGCAGCATTTGTGCAGCTCCAGCATCACACAATTAGTATTTGTCACTCTCAGAGCTCAAAACAACAGTGTGTTCATTTGCAGAGGAAAGAACGGAGTTTTGGGTCTCTATGCTGATATAGCACAAGTCCGCATATCAGAATAAAGTTTATAAAACTGGGAATTAAAGATAGCATCAGACAACCAAGTGAGAGTAAGTCAGAAACCAATAAAAAAAGATAAGCACTTCAGTGTAAATCTTGAGTCCAATCTTGTTCCCTAATTTAAGGCAAAATCTCCAGAGACCACAGTAATACCAGCAAACAGTAAAACTAGCACAAGGTAGCTCTCCTTTTCTGATCAGTGCACAATGACTCTATAAAGCACTCTTTTACCTGAAATCCATGCAGACATCAGTACCACTGGTACTTGGCACCCGTAACAAAGGCACTCTGGGGTCCTGAACCCGAGGAGCAAAGGCTGTACACAAAACGGGGTCACAAATCAGTTTCCCAAAGTGAGAAAAGGCAAACCAGGTATCATCAACACCTGTGGTACAGCAGTTCATGTACTGACATACCAATATGCATAGGGAGCATAATCCAGCTGATTCCTCCAAGGAAAAGACCAGAAACCCCAGGGAGGCTTTGCCCTTGTGGGCATGCAAATCTGTTGTTGTCATCTACTGATGGCCATCAGTAGTGCCTCCTGCCCAGAGATGCACCTACTTCTCCCTTCTTACTTCTACTGCTAGAGTACCTCTCCAGCCAGCCTTCTCCCCTCACAAGCAGCGTTACTGATACTGACCTACGTAACAGAGTATACTGTGAGATTGTCTTTACCTCAGCAATATTTCTGTGGCTCCGGTGAGTTCAAGACATTTGTTTTTTCGGGATTTTTCTTCACATAAATTCAGTTCTTTTTCCCTTTATTAGGGGCCAAACCATGAGCAGCACCATCTTCAACGAGACCAACATGGGTAAATATAAACCCAGCTGATGCTGAGGAGTTTCTGCTATTTCTGGCACTCTACATAACCTCATGGCACATGACTAATCTGCTCCTTCCTCTTTTGACTTAAATATTGTTAAAAATAAATAAATAAAATAAAATAAAAACAAAACTAAAACCAATCCTAGCACAGATCTTCCAGATCTGCCTGCAAGAAATTATAGGCATTTTACAGAGTTACTTTAAAAGCCCCTGAAGATGAAAAGTGAAAGATCTGCTACAGGTTTTGTGCAAGTCTAAATAAAATCTTAATGGTTTTGCCCTTAACCACACTTTATGGCTAGTCAAAGACTTTCAGCACACAGGGTAGGTATGATTATACAGTCTGCAAAAACTATGCTGTCCTGTCCCTGTCATGCCCTTCTCCACCCTGCAAAGTGTCTGATGTTTTTAATTTTAGTGCTAATTTCATCCATTTTTCCAGAACTGAAATAACAAGTTCATACAACTTCTTCTGTACCCTACTGTTCAGCAGAATAGCTAGCTTTAATGAGCCTGGGTATGAATCTGTGTTCAATCACTTCATTCTTAGCAAGACCCAGGACTCTCAGGTGCACACCATCTGTTCCTACTGACCTGGCCACAGCCTGGAATTTTTCCATTTGTTCCAGCATTTCTGCTTCTGACACATGCTCTGACATTCCCTACCTGCTCACTGTTACAAGCCTCTTTCACCTAAATAGCCTTTTGGATGAACTAACCTGACCTTTAAACCAATCAAAACCCTTGCCTGTTTGCTGTCTGGGAGCACACATCCCTGTTTTTTCCCACAGGAATTGACATATTGAACAGCAGTACTCCAGCCAGGATGTACCCACGTGATTTCTGTCTAGATGGCAAACCTTGCCATTATCATTAATGAAGATGGAAGATTTCCCGTGATGGTTATGAGTATCAGGCTGTAAGGAAAGGCTCATTCTTTCTTACAGATTTATTCCACTTACCACACAAGTAAAAATTCAAGTCCAGTGGCACTAAATCCTAGTTCTAGAAGCATACTGATCTGTAAAATTGTTTCTCAATTAATAACTTGAGAATAAAAAGCTGTAAACTGCATGTTGCTTACTAACGGTCCACAGCAGCTCCTTGTCATAGCCCAGACAAGAGCCAAGGAATGGTGTAAAGCACCTTCTGGACTGTGGAGGCTCTGCTTAGTAGAAATCCAGAACTGGTTTCTAGTCCAAATCACCCCATTTCTGACACAGCAAAATCCAGCATGACCATTTCTCAGCTGGTCAGTAAGGATGCCTTGTGACATACAAGGATTTAAAAAGTGTTAAAAAAAGGCAAAAAACTTCCATGGTCAACAATTATTTCAGTATCTTAAGCCACACAAGCTGCCTCTCCCTAAAATGGGTGTTCCCTGTAATAAGCAGAAAACATCTACCATGCACCTCTGTGCCTGGTTCCCATAATTGTTAGAATGGTGAGGTTCTTTAAACAGAAACTATTAGACCGCATTTTTGGAGGATTATAAAAGACAAAATATCAGCAAATATCTCAAACAACTTTGTATGGGTTTCCCCCTGTAAAAACATCCACGTTTCCATTTTTCTTCCCTTCCCCCCAGTACATTATATTAATTCTTTTTTACTTATATTCCATTAAATATTAGTAAGAACACCTGACAGCAGTAGGTTCTGAGGACAGGCACTGTAGCCATAGAGCAGAAAGCCTATGATTAATGCCATATAAAGAAGAGGAGGAGGGCACTAAGAAGGAAGACAAACATCCCCAGATCCCACTGGTCTTATTTTCTGAATATTCCTAAAGCCAATTACAGGGCTGTTTTCCAGTAACATTCTCCTCTCAGCATAAATATACCTGGAAAAACAGTAAAAGCCAACAAAAGCATTAAAGAAAACCCCAAAATTCTCAGGCTTAATTCACACGTTACTATAAAATGACCCCCAAAACACATTCTGATAATAATATGATAATAAATTTCACTTAAATGATAAGGTAAGGAAGTACAAAGCAAAAATAAGAGCGTTTTTCCATACTTCTTTGGAAAATGAAATTACTAATACCACAGTCACACAAATTGACTAATAAGTCTTTAACAAGTTTCTTAAATATACCTTCTTATTTGAAATTAAATGCCCTCTTCTTCCTCTTTGCAAAAGACCAACTCCTGGTGCTAGATCTGCATGAAAAATGTCCTTTCACCCCCCCATTCACCTGCAAGACCAAGGCCCAGTGCAGCTTAAAATGAAGTAGTACTACAGTACTTGGTAACATTTTTGATTTTACAGATCTGGTAAACGACGCAAGTAAGAGAGAGAAAACATCCTTGAAATATCATAATTTTCATTCATAATCACCTGTATAATGTGAATTTATATAAGTCATTAGGAGATGACCTGATAGCTATCAGGAAAGCAGGAGATGAAGTTGGTACTCTCAGGCAGTGCCCAGGTGGAAGTATATTTCAGCTCAATTACAATGTAACTCTTTTCCGATTGATAAATAAAGAGCTCCTGAAGAATAGAATTCCTGTAAGCAAAACTTCTGAAAAGCAGGAATACCCTACCTCTGTTTAGTTTATTGTCAGAAGTATTATGCAGCTATGGTGCGTTAGTCAAATCACTAACCCACAGGTGGGGAATACCGCAAGTCCTGTTTGCAGTATATCCCTGTCATTGGAAAGTGGATGACACAAGCCTTCGTGCCCGCCGACAGAGCTTCTCCTCACAGTTACGAGGGATTGTATCACCCTAACACTGCTGGGGATCACTTCTGGACCCCTGCTGCCCTGATAGCATGAGACCCTCTTACCTCAAACCTAAAAGTATTTGCTCTCAAGAACAGGCATGTAAATACTGCAACATCATTTCACCCACAGCATTTCTGTCACTTAAACAACACTTACAGAAGAGTACCAGTATTCAGGCAGGAACTGGACACACCACATGTCCTTTACAGCTCTGCGAACACAGCTGTCTCTGTGTGAGATTCGGGGGCCCGGGTGAAGAAAGCCGTGCCATCACCGACCCTGCCCGCACACCGCGCTCCGCACAGCCTGCGCTGAAGCCCGCGCCGCGGCACGAACATCAACACCCGAGAGGGGGCAAGGAACGCAGCTGCACAACACCAGCAGCACGGGGAGCCTGCCTGACAAGACAGCGGGCACCAAGCAGCCCCGCCGCCGCCGTCCGCGCCGCCGCGCTGAGAGGATGTGCCCCGCTCCCGCACCCACTGCCGCGGACAGAGCCCGCAGAGGCACAGGGGCACCGCGCAGCCCCTAACTTTCGAGCAGAGGCAGCGCCTCTCCCGCAGGGTTGAGGGAACGGGTCCGCTCCCGTTCCTCCCTCCCCGCACCCCGCAAGTTCGGGGCGAGGCGGCCGCCCCCCCGACCCACCTGGTGCAGCGTGTCCGGGGGCAGCTGCGAGGCCCGGAACAGCTCGCCCACACTGCTGCCCCCGGCGGCCGCCTCGGGGGGCGGGCAGCACCGCGAGAAGAGCTCGGAGTAGCGCTGCTGCTCGCTCTCGCTCAGCGGCAGGAGCAGACCCCCGATGCCGGAGGCAGCAGTAGCGGCGGTGGTAGCGGCGGCAGTGGTAGCGGCGGTGGTGGTGGTTGCGGTGGTGGCGGCGGTACCAGCAGCGGGCCCCCCCGCTGGTCCCTGCTCCATGGCGGGGCGGCGCACGCAGAGCCGCGCGGCGGGGCAGCGGGGGGAACGGGGCGGGAGGTGTGGCGGGAGGGAGGCGGTGCCGCGCTGCGGAGGGGAAGGTGGAGCCCCCGCCCCCCGCCGGTGAGCGCCTCGCAGTGCCCCAACTCCGCCGTGCTCCAATCCCCGCCTCGACCCGCTGCTCCGCTCCGCCCCGCACCCGGCGGCCCTGCCTGCGGACCGCGCCGGCAAGGGTCCCGCATGCCTCCTCTGCAGTCACCCCGGCACTCGCCCGCCGCCTTTTAATCCCCTTTCTTTTGTTCTAGCTGGTTGCGTTCCGGGGAGACCTTGGAGCAGCTTCCAGTACCTAAAGGGGCCTACAGGAGATCGGGAGAGGGACTTTTTACAAGGGCATGAAGGGATAGAACAAGGGGGAATGGCTTTAAACTGAAAGAGGTGAGATTTAGATTAGGTACCAGGAAGAAGCTCTTCACTGTGAGTGTCATGAGGCACTGCACAGACACTGGCACAGGGTGCCCAGAGAAGCTGTGGCTGCCCCATCTCTAGCAGTGTTCAAGGCCAGGTTGGATGGGGCTTGGAACAACCTTCTCTAGTGGGAGGTGCCCCTGCCCATGGCAGGGGGTTGGAATGAGATGATTTCTAGGGTCCCTTCCACCCCAAACCAATCTGTGATTCTGTGATTAATCTTAAATGTGTCCTGTGTTTGGCACCAGGACAGGCCCACAGGAGTCCTGCGCCACCACCACTGCCACCAAGCAGGTGCAGAGGCGTTGGAACCCCTCATGCAGCTGGGTGGTTCATCTCACCCATACCATGCCACCACTGCATGGTGCCCATCTTCTCCATACACCTCCTAGCCCTCAAGGGATTCCCACCCCACTACAGCGCCCATGCTTGTGGAGCTTGGCAGCACTCGGTTTTCCTTCCTGAGACGATGGGAATGTTTCCAAAAGTGCTGCCTGCTGCTGAAAGCACAGCAGTGACACTGCAATACGTGTCATACCTGAATTGAGGCCTAATAGCTCAGCCATGGCAGTTACCAGAGAAGCGTCTCACCATGTTCCCTACAGTTTGTGCTTTGACATTAAGGGCAGAGAGGCCCTTGTTACGGAGGCAAGAGTCCAACACTCCTCTGCCAGCAGTGACACTGCAAATGCTCTCCTTGGAGGCTGAACACCACCTTGGAAGTTAGGCAGGTCATCACCCAGGGTGGGAGGTGGGGCTGGGTACATCCCAGTGAAGAGAGTGTTTGTGGCTCTCAAGCTGGTTTTCCCAGCTTTTTGTCCACAAAGTTCTTTGTGGCATTTCAAGGAGTAAGGTAATTTTCCATGGATCCTCTTGAGAAGGCTCTGCAGGACAGAGTTCTTCCCCTGGAGAGTCCTAAGATGTTGGATGTTGCTGGCGTTTTTCTGTCAGGTGCAGGATACTGATCAGAGGAAATGGTACCAGCCATGGGGAGACGATGTCAGGCTTTGCCTAACTGTTGCCTTATTTAACTGTATGACCCTTACGATAACAGAATAATATTTCCAAGCTAGCTTTTGGCAGAACAGCTGTCCTATAGCTCATCCTGACCAAGAGGGAAGTTACACTGACAAGCAAAGGAAAATACTGTCAGCAATTTGTACTAATTGTGCATTTTCCTGTGTCTGAAGATTGTCATTGGTAACTGCCCAGCTCAGTACCTGTGATGCTCATATCTCATCACAAAAAACACCTGCTCCAACACCCTATCAGACACTGTTTGGCCTTTGCTGATGTTTCGGGCTCAGTTTTTTTAAGTGTTTCTAAGGTGGACCAAGGCAGGAAGATAAGAGGAACACCCACTGTCCCAGAACACAATAGTCTGTCCTACCAGCCACACCTCTTACTGCAAACACTGCAGCTTTTTTTTATCTTTAGACAATTTTCTCTTCTTGCTTGAATGCATGTAAAACTTGCATTCCTCTCTTGATACTTCCCATTCTCATCAGAAAGGACACAGTAGCTGTGTTCAAAAACAGTCTACCCCGCTATTGTAAACTCCAACCTGTCATCTCCAATACACTAAAGAATTGAACCCCCCATGAGCTTAGGAAGACAGGAGGACCCTTATTTCTGCAAAAGAAATGTGAGCTTACAGGTGTAATAGGTGTGAGCTGAACACCCTGTGGGCATGAGCACCCCTTTGGGGCATACAGGGGGATGCTCAGGTGCCTCCCACCTCTGCAGCCAACCCTACTCATCTACTCTGCTGAGCCCAACACTTAGGGGGAGCTTTAGCCCACCCTGGCTGCCAGAGCCACTTTCCGTATGGTCCAGTGCATTTTGTGCAATGGCACTGATGGTTTGCACATGCTTTAAAGTTCTCATTAGGATGCCTTGTATTAGACTGGGAGGCACTTTGTGATAACAGAAGCCATACAATTATCGTAAGAAGAGAGACTCAACTTTCCTGTTTACAGGGAAGTTGTGATGTCATTACAGGTTATAAAGTTTCCCTATAACTAAGAAATGCTATGTACCAGTAAATCAAAACAATTCAAGTGTTTATTGTTTGCTGGGAAAAAAAATAAATCCAGTAACGTAAACTGGATTGAAATCTGACTTATCAAACTATGGTTTAGATCTGTGTGTGGTCCTCCTTTCCTGCTTCCCTCCCCACCCAACTAGTAATGCAATGACTTGCTCCAAATGCAGCCAGCAGCAGTCCTGCAAACAATTGTATGCTTGTGTGTGGGAGGGAGACCAAAGTCATAGTAAAAAATACTACTTCCAAAGAAGTGCTAGTAGGAATAGGAGTAATGTGTATGATATATCTATCCAAAATCATCACTGTAAATTGTCACATATAATATGACATAGAATACATAATCCCCAGTAAAAGAATCCCTCCCAGTATTTTAATATATAGAGGATCCTGGGAACTATTTTTATTTAAGCAGTATAACCAAAGACGGGTCACTCAAATCTGTATGTTACTTCATTAGCCTTATGGTTTAGATCATGTCAAACTTGCCCTGGTCCAAAAGGCATGAGATCTGGCTGGCAGCTGCTGCCCATTGACAGTGAAAATGCCCCACATATCACCAAGTGAGGCTTTGGAAATGAATCCAAGTGGTTGACTGAAAAACTGTGATTTAGCTTTTCCCAAATTAATTTGAATTAATCTCACCTGTTGTTCCTAATACCAACTCTTTTTATTTATTCTCTGCAAAATTAAAGGAGATTTTGATGACAAGCAACTGGTGGGGCAGGTTTCCCAGCCATGGCATCAGGCATGCTTGGAGTATAATAGGCAAGCTTGTAGTTTCATGTATTGATTCAGTGTGTGAATACTGTTATTATGATTGGCCTTGTTGCTTGCATGACAATATTCCATGTCTAGGAAAAATTGTTAATTAACTGTAAAATTTGATTCTCTGTTTTCCAGCTTGTTACTACCTCTAATGCATGAAAAACCCCTATGAAATAGGAACTGTTTCCAGCTCTGACCAATTCCTGGTTTTCAAAATTAGATGGCATCATAGGTGAAAACTCCCTTGTCTGAGCAGATTGTGGAGGATGCAGCTCCTGATAGTTTTTTTCTATAAGCAGCTAAGTACATAATAGATAATAGAAGCTGGTGTCATAAAATATTTGACAACTCTGTTTTTTGGGTGGGGAGGGAAGCAGGACCACACACAAATTTAAACCATACTTTCAGAAGTCAAATTCCAATTCAATTTACATAACTGACATTATATTTCTAGGAAACAATAATTACTTGAATAGCTTTGATTTACAGGAATGTACAGTTTCTTAGTTCTGGGGAAGTTTTGTAACTTATAATGATATCACACCTAATTGTGTTTAGAAGAGTCTTTTTACAAAGGCCTTTTACAAAGATTTATAGATGTAGTGTGAGCTTTAGTGGCATAAGGCTAAGCCCCTGCACACATCTGTGTAAAGGCAAGGCCAATAATAGTATACTGCTCTTTAGGTAACTATCCAGGAACGTACAGCCTCATTCACATTAATTTCCATCAAAACCCCTGGCAGTTTCTTTCATTTTAAATAATGGCTCCACATGAAATAAATAAAATAAAATTATATGCATATTTATTTTTAGTTTTAATTTCAAAAGATTTTCCACTTACTTTTATATTCCATACATGCAGAAGCTCACTCAACAAACCAAGCATTAGAGTGTGGTTTCTCTATCACCTATACTTTAACTTAGGAAATTCACCAAGCTTTCAGCAGAATACACCCAGCTTTACTGTATTGCTGGGCAATGGTTCCTAAAGGTTGTACTGTCAGCACACTCAAAAGCCTGAACACAGAAATGTTGCCAGGGGCCGATTTACATGATCCTGGAAGTCACATACAGAAAAAACAAAACCTTAAAACTAACTAACTAAATAAATAAATAAATAAATAAATAAAAAGAGGGACCTATTGTCTTCTCCCATAGACACAAGATAAAAGGTCTTGCAATATATTTTGGAATTTAACTGTACTCTTGTGGAAAATGAGGGGAATGCATGTTAGGAAGAAGGGGCTATTACAACAGCATAGATTTAATTAATTAAAGAAAATTTCATAGTGCTTGGTGAGGTGGCTAATGTTCCATCACTTGTTTCTTTGACAAACTGTTACTGGCAACCACACTCTTAAGTGAAAAATAATTACAGAAAGGCACAGACATTAATCATTGCAGTGAAGCCATTAATGCAAAGCAGGGTGCATATTTTCCATTTGAAGAGATTGCAATTAAGTGAAAAATCTCTGCACATTCACTCTTTCGTGTGTCCTACAGCTAATTTGCATCCTTCTTAAAATTTTTGCCTTCAGACTTAGAAAACAGTTCCAGGAAGCGTTCTGTTGTGAGACAACCTGATGACCAAAAAAGGCTTTCAATGCTGCTACTACAGTCTCATGCTTCACATGCAGTTTTGACCTAAGTAAGTTCCCCTTAAGGCAAATACTATGCCTTTATGCCATTTTCCTAGTTATATTTTAACACAGCAAATGGTCCACCTTGTCCTCTAGCTAATTCATGAGCTCTGTATAAACCA